TATAACTAGATAGCACATGTACATACAACTAGATGTCCTCCAACATCTTTGTTTTCAGCTTCTCATGGCACCTGTAGTCAATTAGTAATCAGCACACATGTTCTCAGTCAATATAGTCCTTCCAGTGCATTTACCTCCTGGTTTTTATTTCAGCGTTTTGTCAAATCGTTGTTAATTTCATTGCATCTTGTTGTTTCAGTTCTGCCGAGGTTTGAACATTTCTGCCTATGTGCCTGCATTTAAGTCCTTCTTTAACAAAGTATCACAAAATTAGTTTGGAAGAAAGGTGCTTTAAGAAAGTTTAAAGCTAAGATTAGTTTAAGTTAACACAACTTGACTTTTGAGACATTAGTGGTGTGTGTGGTGGAGTAAAATCCCTTCTCTTGTGTCAGCAGAGTAGCACTAACTTTACAGCTGTGCACCTACATTTTTGTATCTACATAAAACTTCTAAGCAGGCAGAGAACACAAAGAATGACACAAATGAACGAGTCACCATCAGTTTTAATTAGTCCTGCAGTGAATATTTCAAAACAGCGATACAGTAGAAAATGATGGACCTGACTCTTACTGCAATATGACAAAAAGGGTTAATGGGTCATATATTGAAATTTTTATCACAATTTTTTTAAAATAAAAAATTCTTCTTTCACTGTAATGGCATGTCTTTGGGTTCCAACATTATATTTAGATTGACTGTTAATGTCAGATTAAAACACTTGGAACAGTAAAAAAACAAAACACTGGGTCTCACATTACTTATGTGATTGTCTTTTCCTGTTTGTTCGTTCCGCTATTTTTTCGTTAAAAGTAACAAATTCTGATATAGCTGTAATACAAGTTCATTTGAATCGATGAACAAATAAATTTCATTTTGTGTGGAGAAATACAAAGATGAATAATTGACAATAAAACAATGAAATTAAAGGAAAACATGTGGTAACTAATAACTCTTCAAACCCAATTGAACACAATATACCCAAACAAAATCATAATGAATTAAATAATACTAGACAGACATGTCTCCAAGATTTTAGCTATATACATATTTTAAATTTGTATACCAAATCAGACACGCATGACTCCTCTTAATTACATCATGCATGGCTCTGACTTCTGGAGACTGAATGAAACTAAAACAAAACAGAAACCAAACCAAACAGCACTTTACAAAATGTTACTATACATATAGTAACCCTAAATTAAACTCTGCATTTATATACAATACAAAATTTCACATAACTTTTCTCTCCTAAACTATAATTTTGGGCTTTTGGTCAGGGACATACAACAACCTTAAGGAAAATAAAATGTATATTAAAAAAGCTACAAATGAAAAACAAATATACCAATTTATAATAAACATGTTTTAAAAAACAAATCTTAAAATTTAAATTAAAAAAGTCAACCTCAGATGAGGACGAAACACAGTTGATTTATGCAACAATATAATTTCCATAGTTCACCCTTTGTATCTATGCTTTTGTGTTGTGATGATTTAAGTCCTGGAATTTTTTGTTTGACCCCTTCTGAGTTCTGTCATGAAAATTAAAGTGATGGAGTCTATACAATTCAATTTTCAAGGTGAGGTGTTCAGGTAAACAACAGTCATTGGTCTGTTTTCTCACCCCTCATTCACTATGTGTCCCTTTTTTCCCTCCATATTATGAAGGCATTCAGGTGAGTTTCTTTTTAGTACATTGAAAACACACCGTAACCCTTATGCAGTGTTCTTAATTGCATTCTCATTAAGCTTTTCCATGTAGTTCCTAAGGTCCTTAGAGTCCCCAAGCTCGATGTCTGGGCATACCCATTTTATATCACTGGTCTGCACTAGTGCTAATGGGCTTAGCACTGGACATCCATTACTGGACTTCACATTGGAGAAAGTGGAGAACTTTACCCTCTTCCTCTTAGTGGTGGGTGAGTTAAGGGACTCATTCCTGTGATTCCGTCCACTACATCCTCCCCCATCAGTACTATCACACTGGACGCCTCCATTTAAAAGTTGACTGCCTTCCTCCAGGGTACCACCCAGCTCTTCATGCTGTTGTTGCTGCAAACAAAGGCCCTCCTCTTGACCAAGCCAAACCCAGTCATGAGCGTGGGGCATAGCCTCTGGAGCCTCCAGAGAGAGCTGCTTAGTACGGTACTTATATGCATAAGCAATGCAGTTGATGAGGAAAACCAGAATGGCCAGGCAGAAAACACCCAACAGGGCATACATACCAATCTCCAAGTCTGTCAGTCCTCGTCGAGATGGTAACAAGTCATCATCTGTGCTGCGACTCCGAGGCAGCTCGGCCTTTTCTGGGTATTCGGAGATATCATTTGGTATCCTGTCTCCACTGTCTGCTGACAAACGTCCCCCACTAGGCCTCATTGGAACATGACCCCTGATGGTAGTGGCTCCACGGTTAATTAAGCCAGTTTCCATATCCGAGATAGATCCACTATAATATGGAGGATCAGGGCGTGTTCTTCTGTCTCCTGGTTGTCTGTATTGCTCCTCTTGCTTACCAAACCTTACTTGGATATTTACCATTCCAGTGGCTAATGCAGAACGTTTTTTGCCCTTCTGGCACATATCTGACTGACTCATTTCAACATGTACAAGCAAGCCTTGACCTTCCCCCTTGGCAACGATAACTGGCCACTTCCATGCCGCACTCTGCTGCACCACCACCACCCGCTCGTCCAAAGATGTGGCTGCCAGGGTAAAATGGGCAGGGTTGTAGTTGTCTAGAGGAGTCATAGATCCATCACTGAATTGAAGCCAAGCACTAATGAGGGACTCCTGTGAAAATGAAGCCAACCATAAACTGGTAAAACACCAGTAACCCAGTGTGAAACAAAAATAAATCCATAAACATTCATTTGCACATTTCTCTGAAATGCACAAGGATCAAAACAAAACAGAGGCACATGGGGGAAACAAAAGTGTGTCTTAATTACAGTAGAAAAGCTGGAACGGATTTGAAACCATTCTCATGAAAGCCAAATATCCTCATGGGAAGTGACTAGAGCCTATCATTATTCAGTGGTTGGAGATACAAATCAAAGGGAAAACCTTGTCGTATGATATTTAATTTAAATAAAAAGGCCTAGTATTCCTTCAAGAGTGCATGTTGCCCATTGCTTTTCATGCTAAAGTTTTAAACTAAGATCGACTGCTACAAAAGAACAGACATTTTAATCAAAGTTTGTAAATAGAATATATGTACAATCTCAGGTAATATAGTGAAACATGGCTGTTGGCATGTATACAATCAACAGATTTTTGCTCCATATCTGTAAAATGGACTGAGTTATAGACATTTTAGTGTTGGCTAAGGTTGATTAGCTGTGGCAACCATCTTGAAAGGGGTTAACTCTAAATTCAATCAAGTGTAGATGTACATTCAAAGATTAGTTGCTGAGTGTTACATTAAAATCTATGCAGTTGTTCATTCATTTATTTTTTGTCAACGATACAGACAAACAAGTGCACACATGCACAGAAGCAAAAAACATTATCACCCTTTTGGCTTGGGCATTTGTAGTTTGACATGTTCTGCTCTATGGCAGGTAATTAAACAGATTCTAACATATTTGTAGTTAGTTCTTACATTTAAATGAAACCATACCTGTTTAAGTGATTCAATGACTTCCTGTGTTGTTGCAGTAGCAACAATGGCTCTGTTGCTTCCAGGGCTCAGTTGCAGGGACAGAGAGAGTCCAGAAACCAACTGCACCCCCAGTTCTGTCACACTCACTTTATCATCGTGCACCCTGATGCTCCTCTCAGCCAGTACTGATGATGTCAGAGGGGACAGGATCTGCAACATTCAACATGAACAACTACTTGTTACTTTTTTTTTTTTTTGGTTTGTTTTTTAAGAGGGCACTCTAATTCCAAAAGTAGAAAATTGATGTTTATAACAATATTTATTGCTGATAATTGCATTTTCAATCTCTAAGCACTGAAAGTCAAATTCTGGTTTAATTCCCTTTTTTATTCCCTTTGTTGGTCATCCTTTGAATACAGTCATTTTCCAAAAAAAAACTTCAGTGACACAAAAACATAAATAGACAAAATAGTTTCAAGACCAAAAAAAAAAAAAACCCAGTAAATAGAGATTTGCATTTGTTTAAAACATCCTGTAAAACTGTGCCATTAAATACAAAACTACATTTTCTAAAATTATAAATTTTGTTTGCCCGATTAAGAGCAAGTCCATAGGCCAACAACATACTTGTAAATCATTGCCACTTAATATCCTTATCCACAGGACTTTGTGAGTCTATGTGAAGTAAATGCCATATTTGATATTTCATGAAGATCAATGGAAATCTGTGAGCAACTTTTTGTAATTGTAGTTTTTATTCCTAACAAGAACTACTTGCAAAAATAGGAGTAAAAACAATTTTTTGTACCGTTTAGCTTCTAAACTACTTTATGTAGATGTTTGGAGGGGAAGACAGTTTTATTTTACATTGTCTTAATGCACCAATAAATTGGTGTAAGGTACAAAAACAATACTGTATATTTTAAATTGGTACATCAACAAAGAACATAGAAAGGATTGAACACATTAAGATTTAAAAATGCTCTTGAACTCATTTGAAAACATATTTTCTAATGTTCTGCTGCACATAACACATCCTCCAACTTTCCAAGTTGCCAGAGGTGTAAGAATGTAAAATAGCTGTGATGTTGTTATGAGATGAGAATCTTTCCCATCCGCTCCAATTAGGGGTCCAGTATTTCCAACAGCCACCCCCACAAAGCTGCATTTACCAGCCAAAATGAAGTGTCAGCCCTGATCACTGCCTCATTTGTACAGAGCCAACTTCTTGTTTTCTTCCCTTTGGGTTACCATGTTGTATTTTCTCTTTTGCACAGAGACATTGTGATATCCTAGAGTGTTCAATAGCCAACACCGTTGTATCAAGATAGGGTACGCATTTATTAATTTTGTTTCAGAGTGAGGACAAAAATGTTTAAGAAAAAGGCAGACGGTACCAATTTTAGTAAGACTGTATGATATGAAAAAGTGCAATAGCAATATTATTGTTGAATATTGTGAGGACAACATCAGCTGCAATAAACCCACATTTTCTCACTTTTATTTTATTTCTACCAGATTATAAGATTATTTGCATGCTTTATCATCTTAGCAACCAAATTCAATATTAATTGTGGATAGATAAATTAATGACTGTCTCAAGAGGTATAAAAAGTATATATAAATAAGGTATTTTGTCTTTCTGAAATCACTAGAGGGTCTTTAATTAAGGAGCCATTATTCTAACATATTTGTCAAATTAAAACAAGGCCAAAGATGCTACATGCTGGCATAGCCTATACCAGAAAATACAAAAATAAGGGCGATGAATAGTAACATGTAATTAAATAAGCCATACATAATGTTCTCTGAGCCAAATATATCTTCCAACTCGGACAGGATAGTCCGGTATCATCTTTACAGGTGCAGTTTTAAAAGCTTCTGACATTTTCATGAAGAACTCAGTTCCCCCAAAGTGATCATCTCTCCTCCTGCCTAAACTCAAGAGCCTTCAAGCAGATGTCCAAGACTTTTTGCTGCTTTTATCGTGAGATGTCAAATCTCCTTTCCACGCTAGCAGTAGTTGCAGCAGTCAGATTGGTGCTCCTACTTTTATCAGACTCATGTCTCTCCCTATCCTATTAAAGAAAGTGCAGATCCTGCCTTTGGCCTACATCCATAATTGTGAAATTCTCCAAATGTGTCAAGTCCCTTCTATGCCAGTTTCCAAGTTCATGGATTTTTTTTCATTCTGCCCCTAGAGGGCAATTAAGGACTCCTTTCAAACAACCCCCTTCCTATTCACACCTGTCAGAGTGGTGTCTTATTTACTTCCTGTCAGTCCTGATAAAGGAAGGGCTCATACTACCTGAAATTCACTATATCCCATTTATACCAAGATCTGGGCTAAAGCAATCACCAATAATACAGGAAATCTATTGTTACTCAGACCGTGTGTCTTTGGCTCACACACTGACACTTTTGCAAAGGTTAGCAGCAGAATGTGTTCTGCATGTAGATATGCCATCCACAGCATGTCAGAAAGTGCCTAAATGGATCTATTCTTCCCTTCTGCTGCACAGAGAAACTTACAGCCCTGTAAATTCATGATCACATTACTCATTTGTTTGATAGTATGAAATATTCTCTTTTAGGAGTCTCTTAAAATACTTGAAAATCTTGAAAATCAGCAATAAGTTAACACAAAAAAATACAAATTCAGTGTACACATAAACTTATTATCCAGAATTATAGAGGCACTACAGTTTTGTTAAATATATAAAAACTTATTTGGAAAACACAAAAAATGAAAATAATTCTGTCAATTTTACAAATATAGTGCTAAAATTTAATGTGACTGTAGCCGAGTGTTATTCACAGCACATACTCCAAGTGCCACTCAATGTGCGGGGCATTTGCTTAAAAAAATGTAACTTTAGGAGTCACTTTTATTTGTCTGTTAGCATAATACCCCCCTGAACCACTGGATAAGGTTTATTTAAACTTCAGAAAGTAATCCTTTGATTTACACCTACAACTGATTAATTTTTGAAGTCACCTTTATTCAATAGGATCTAATTGATATTAGCCAACACAAAAGTTGCTGTATAACTGAATAATTATCTATAATTTTGCTGATTTTCAGCCAAAGTTTGAGATAATAGTAACATAAACCACACATACTCTGGATGTGGCATCTTGCAACATTGCATGAGATTGAGCATACCTTTCTTTTGAAAATTAGACTATAACTCAGTCATTTCTGAACAAAAATAATCTTAGTTTAAAACTTTTGCACAAAGAAATGCAGCCCTTTAGGATAATACATCAACAAACCTTTAACTATAGATGCATTATGAAAAACAATGTATGAGTAATTGGCAATACCTAATGCAAAATGTGTTGCTTTCTCATAACATTTTGGAAACTTTCACCAGTTCAGGCCATTTCACAAACTTTATGGCATTTAATTGATATTAGCGACTTATTTCAGTGCTCAGTCCTGAAGTGAAAACAACTCTTCAGTGCATATAAAGAAGCAGATTGTGATCCCAGACTTGTATTTTAACAATGTGTTCCTCTGTGTTGTGCTGTCTTGTAAATGTCAGGTTGAAGTTAATTTATAGTGTGAAAGTGACGTACGCAGCCTCCTGAGCAGGCTCCTGATTGTATCATTAAATAAATAGGGTGTTAAGCGCTTGTGTGTGTGTACATGTGTGTGAATGTGTCAGGGAGCTACATGGGAAAAGATTTAGAGACTGCACAGATGTGAGCTTGATAGGTCTAAGTGTTGTAAGTATGTCACACTGCAATCAATGTGGCTGTATTTGTATCTGCTTTTTATTCCAGTGATAAATCTATTCTGTATTTAATTTGAGAAATGGGTTGGTCTTAAATTGAGCTGGTGGAGTTTCTCAATTATCCCGGTCATGATCAATAATAAAAAATAAAAAAAAAAGTTAAACAAAACCAATTGGACTTCTATTCTGAAGCTGAACATGTTGTATTTCCCATATAGGAGGCTTCATCAATTCTAAAATGTCTGGAGTGTGGAGAGCTTTATAAAAATGCATGAAAGGCCTGGTTGTGTACCGTACTTAGATTCACCTGCAGATTAGACTGGAACTGCTCGCCCTGCACAACAGAGGCTCATTAGGCTCTTTGTCTGCCTGGCTCACAGAGAGATGTTTCGGTCGTCTGCCTGATGGTCTGAATTGGCTGGTAATCAGGCCTAAAGCTGCACTGTAAGTTTTTGAAAGTTGAATTCTGATAACTCCTCCTCTGTTTAAAGTTGTTTTTTTCCTCATTTGACGTAATGGCTTCCTTCGCCCTCTCTCAAACCATCTGTATTCTCCTTACCTCAAGGATAAGGGACACTCTTTTGAGGACCAAAATGTTCATATGTTGGACAGTGAAGACAGATGGTCTTCTCTGATGGAAGATGATTGTTGTACAGTAGTCCCTCATTGTGTGGTTCGTTTATCACGGATTCACTCTATCATGGATTCGCTCTGTCGCGGTTTTCCAAAATAAGATTGGACATGACACACAATGGATCTATTAATGGATGAGTCACGCAATGGGCATGGAATTTTATTTAAAATAAATTATTTTAAATATTTAGCACCTGCTGCATATTTGTGCAGCCCAGTGCTGCAGGATAAACTCCCTCCTGCAGCTGAACAGCTGATCGCATGCAGAGCAGAGAAGTGGGCGTGGCAAAAATGCTTGCAAGTGGCAAAGAGCAGAGAAGGCAGGGAGTTGAAATCATGACGTTCTGTGCTCTTTTAGAGCATTTAGTTTAGAAACATTGTCTATAATATTGCAATAGTGTGTATAGATAGATAGATAGATAGATAGATAGATAGATAGATAGATAGATA